TGTAATTTTCCAGTCATTTAAGTAATTTTACAATCATATTTAAGTAATGTTACATGATTATGCTGGGTCGGAAAAAGCCCAGCATAATTATGTAATTTTACACAAATATTTTTTTTAATGTATGCTTAATCATTTTTGTAATAAATTTATCTAGGATGCTGTTAATTTTAATGTTGTAAATTATATTAATTTAAAATCAGAGTTATTATATGGTTTTACTTGATAAAATAAAAACAAAGAAAGCGTTAAATAAAAATTATATTATAATATAATTAAAAATAATGATAGAAAATTCTATCTGTCTACTCTGTATTTTGTAATATTGTGATTCCCAGCATCTTCCTTAATTTTTCTTTGGAATAGACTTAAGTGAAAAAAGCTATTTTATAACATGACTTTTTTTCTATCTTGATATTTTAAACAGATTAAATTAGTCATAAAATTTGCCTAAGTCCGTTCCAAGATTTTACCTTTCCTACTTTATTTCTTTATCCTAAATCGTATAATACAAGGGAACGTATCAGCAGCAAGGCACATTTTACAGCATCAAAATGACTTCAAACGTTGCGAAGCTTCTAACGTAATAACGTGATGAATAATATTCCACAGTTTCGGTAAAGAAAACTTCCCTCCAGAAAAGTTCCTTTTGCTGCAAAATTATCTATGCTCGATCCGTCGGGTATTATCTAATTATCTGCATCGGCATATCGACCATCAATCATTAATTATCGTGATTTCGCACACGATCCTGACAGCCGGAAGGACATGGAAACGATGACGGATTACCTCACGGATGTACATATGCATGTGTGTCTCATTGCTGCCGATATCTCTCTCTCTCTCTCTCTCTCTCTCTCTCTCTTTCTCCCCTTTTACAACAATATCCTCGAGCACGGTAACGCTGTTATTAACAATATAACGCTTTTAACCAAGAAAAACCAGGCGAAATTGTCGTGTAATTATACGTCGACGTGCAAACTATATCTATATATATATCTATATTTTTGTATATATATTTATTCGTCACACAACCAACGATACGCATATCATATATCGCCATATTATATCCCCTTTCCCCCGTTTAAAAATAGACACCCCCTTAACCAAGCATGTCAGTTTTGCTGTATGTGAGAATGAAGCTTTAGTCGTAGTGCATGCTGGCCGTCCACGTGCACCGAAACCACGAGTTACACGTGATGATGTGACAGAACGAGGCGAACTTTGGTGTAACAGCATCTGATAAAATATCATCAATTAAATTATGGCAAATTGCATTAATAACGAAATGAAAATGGATTTATCATTAATGAAGACTCTTCATTATTAACAAATTATTTGATTATTGAGTTATTTGAATATTGAATTATGTTGAATTTATGATTAATAAAAAACATATTGAATTAACATTTATGACGCATCTTTATAAAAACTGTCAAAAATAATTCTACAATTTCGATCTGCCTCACTTAAAATTGATTTATAAATGCTTTTTTATTGTGAAAGTAGATAATAGTTCGTTTCGCTTTGTCACGACTAGACACCAGTTTTCTCCACGACTCACACGATTTCACGAGAAAGAATAGACACTGTAAAGCTGAACTTAGGACTTAGATGAAAGATAGATTGTACGAGCAGCCGTAGAGAGATCTACACAGATGTTCGCAAGACAGCGTTGTGTTTCATAGTCGCAAAGTATGAAATAGTGTTAAAGTTACTCACATGCGACCCGATTAGGACTCGAGACGCATTAGCGAGTAACTCTCCTTAGATGTATGTATAGAAGTTTCAACGTACTTCTACGTATTTTGCGCGAGATTCTGCCGACTTTGCTACATCCATATTCACACAACGGAAGTGGAATGAGACTCGCGACGGCATAGACGCTCATACGGATCTTCGTGAACGTTATTTTAAAATCGATATCGTTTTCATGAAATTGCAGACTCTATTGAAATTCTGAGTCTCGATTAAACGCAACACACGACGAACTACTGTCATTCTGCTTCCCCGAGTAGGACGCTTGGCGGATTCATATTGCGCACGATATTCGACGTATGATATCCAATAAGAGAATTCGGTTCTAGTTGTCTCCGGGAGACAAATTCTTTTATTGGATATCGGACATCGAACGCCGGATATCGCAGTATGAATCCAGGATTATTAATGTGGCAAATAAGTCTGCTTCATGATGATGTAAATCGCTGACACGAGGATATTCAATAGGGATTAAAGTCAGATGCGCTCGTGGTTACGGTTCGTCCAACGTATTGCATGGGACTACGAGTAATTTTTATTTTTTCATTTCGAATGCCGAAATGGAGTGTGCAAACGGTCGTTTTAAAACAAAACGAGAAAAGTGATAATGTGATTTACAAGCCGCGGAATTTTCACATTCCTGTCTATCTTGATCGCGAGTATATGCGTAGCTATACTCAAACTGACACGGATGATTCCACGAGGATATTATCTCACCAGAAAATATGAATTATATTTTATAGAAATTATATGTATATATTGATAAAATTATAATACATGAATGAAATTATATTATATATACATATATTGAAACTCTCTTTATATTTAGGAGATATTAAATCTGACAAAGCTGTTTGGTAAACAATATTGTAGCAAAGTATTCGACAAAAATATAATATTATTGCAGTTGGGTGGAACAGTTAATTAAATATAGTTTCTTAGCAAGGTGAGATGGAAAAGTAGAGATGGAATACTGGGTCGTTGATGTTGTACGGAACATTTAACGCGTCACATGTTGAAATTAATTAGTATATATTCGTATAATAATTATTCGCGAAAATTTCAAGCTCACGAATTTGTTTAAATTTCATCGTATTTTTTTTGTTTAAATTATGCACATGTCGAAACATTCTTGCTGCGAAGACGAAAACTAATTAAGAGAATTAGTAAATTATTAAAACATGAAAAAATATTCGATAAAAAAAATTGCGAGATAATATGTCTCCTAATAATAAGTTAATATTGGAGCAGATAGTCACGTAAAATTAATAATCTATTAGGATTTTTCTAGTAATTATTAAAGAGAGAGAGGGTAACATTGTAGGAAAGTGAATTAAATTTGTCGGTATTTTCTCAGGCAACATAAGCGTCGCTTGATAATGTTCGATGAATATTTTAATGTTGCTCATAATGATCGTTTATTCTATAAGCCGCAGGAACGTTTTATTTTTATATAAATATTCCCACGTACACACGTCGCTTTTTATCAACGTATACAAAAAAGTACGTGACGCACGATATCTGAGTCAGGAGACACGACGTAGAAGAAAAGAAATTAATGTTAAAATAACGAGATAGGAGAACAAAAAAGATATATACATATATATATATATATATGTCGCGAATACGGCAATAGTGCTGCTTCTGCACGAGCCGCGACTCGTACGACGCCTGTGCTTTTTTACTTGCAAGCAATTATGGACTATAAAAAGAAAGAGGGAGGCAAGAAAAAAGGGGCGGAAGGGAGGACAATCACAAAATCGTCAGCTATATGCTGTTGTCGATAGGGATGGGTGGATTGTGTTGTTGTTTCAATATGTTTCATTATTTTGGCCCGCACCAGCTCGTGTTACGTAGGCAATTAGTACAATTTGGCGCGTCACGGTGGCCCATTGTTCGTGCTTTTTTCCCATGCCGTGTCCGAGCCCACGCGAGCGCGCCATGTCGACGGATAATGGAGCGGTCACGAAGACATGACGATACATTACAGGACGCGCATTACGCGTGTATAGATTGCAGCTCTTTAAACCGTTGAGGTGCATAATAGCGCCCACTGAAAATACCGTCATATTTTCGAACATCTCTTTCGAAAAATGACGTATTATCTTCTCTAATGAATAAATGCTGTAATTACTGTATTACTGCGCGAATTCATCCAAGATTTTACGATAAAGCTATTTAGAATTAATATATTATTATTTATAAGTCTACGATATAATTTCAATCATATTTCATGTCAAATCTTAAATGAGAGATCTTAATTCTAAAAGCTTGATCTTTTTAACATTACAATTTTTGTAATGTTACCATCAGTTCAAAACTACATGCGAGACTTTGTATAAATCTCCATTATTTTTATAGAATTTTGATATCAAGTGAAACGTACATACGTTTCACTCGATATCAAAATGTTATAGTCAAGCGATAAGGACGGAGATTATACATTAATTTGCGCAAACATAGAAATTCGGAAGATTGAAAAGGGTGTTCCTCGCAATTATTGCACCGTCTCGCTCTGTCCACATGGTCGCGACGCAGGTTTCAAGGCGAGGGGGGCGAAGGACCCGTTTTCACCGACACCTCTCCCTCAGCGTGTGTGTGCTTATGCACTCAATGTCCGTGTACCACCAAGTGTGGCGAAAACGCTTATTTATAACATGAACGTAGTCGCGGAATCGTCGAGGAATCCCACGCATTGCTCCGTACCTTGTTGTACATATGTATGCACGTGCCGACGAGGAATGTTCCTTTTTTTCCATACCACGTTTTTACCTCACGTTAACACCCTCTTATTTTGCTCGATCACATCTCATTGTTGCTGCCGCTGACAATGCTACCGCAAGAATGGCCGATTCACAGCTGATGTGTAACCCGTCATGCTGGCGATCTTTGAGATTTTAATTCTACATGAAGAATCAATCACGTCGAATCACGTCGAGCAAAACTCTCTTAATAGCAAAACCGATCTTTACGTAACAGCAACGAAATGAATTTTGTAATTATTGAGTTTCTAATTATGTTTCGTATTTGATAGAATATTGAACATTAATTACTCGTATAGTCGTATGTACGTAAACTATTCGAGTGAAAAGTAATTATTTAATCTGGTAAATGGCATCAAATTGAATTTCAAGAACGCTAGCGTGTCGTCCGCAGCTTTAACATGTTACATAAATTCTACTTTTTTCCGTATTAATGGGTACGATAACGGTAATCGAAATTGATGGACTTCTTGTGTTGTGTAGGGCAAGTTTTTCTATTGTACCGATGCATCGAAAATGACGGAGGACGAGTGTCAGTAAGTTCTAATTATGTTATAAATTAATAAAATTATTTAATTTTGTTTAATTGCAAAGGATCCCGCACAAACCTTATGGAAATTGAATTTCGGTAGAATTAATTGAAAGTTTGATATGTTGTAGATCTTGTCCTGATAAAAAGTCTTTACAGGCATGACCTCTTATAATGAATTGTTTGACTTCTATGGGGCGTCATTTTTCAAAACGGGCTTAATACTACAATATCTTATTTTCAACGAGCACGATGCATTCCTACGTCGTTATTTGCACTTTCTGTAGTTTTAAGTAAAAAGTTATAAGGATAATTTGATTGCTTCTTACAAATCGGGATGCTCAATTATTGTGAGTTTCCTCGCCTCTCACAAATCGTGGTACTTGACCCGTAAACCTCGGATGAAGGAGATCGACTCGCGAAAATCCAACATAAGACAACAACAGTTTTAGGAGTGGACTAGAAGATAGAAAGATCACGCTAGCTTTCGGAATTATTAGAGCCTCTGTCCCCGAAGAGGCTCTAAAGCTAAACTGATATGAGCATGGTACTGTGATCCAATAATAGAGTCGGAAAGCCACACAGGGGATTTGACAAAGACAAAGACAAACAGAGAACATCCAACAAGCGTGTTAAATCTCGCTTTCTACATACTTCAAGCACCCCGATTTGTGAGAAACAATCAAAAGTTATTATTATCCTTATAACTTTTTACTTAAAAATATATATAGGAACAATGACATAGGAATGCACCGTACTCGTTGAAAATAAAATATTGTAATATTAAACCCGTTTTCTGTGAAAAATGACGCCTCGTAGAAGTTAAACGATTCATTATAGGGGATTATGCCTTTATGGAAATTTTTTATCAAGACAACAAGATCTATAACATATCAAATTTTCAGCCAATTCCACCGAAATTCGATTTTTATAAAGTTTGTGCAAGATCCTTTAAAAATTGTAACGTGGAAACCACAAATATCTTTAAAAATTGTTAGTGATTTTTGCATATAATAATAATGTGCTGGCGAGAAAACATATCCAATTTAAAAATATATTAAACGTAAAGAAGAGAAAATTTTTATAATGAGATTTCTCATTAATCCACGAACAATAGAAAATTTCAAATATAGATCGCACATTCAGAATACAGATGCAAGAAACTCTCCTTTTCAGGGGTACTTATTTGGAATTCGAAAACAGTAATATTAACAGGCCGATCGTAAAATATAGAGAGTGGCAACAACATCGTTTTCATTTCGATAACGTTGCCAAGGCGATGTTGACCCTTTTTACGGTCTCAACTTTCGAAGGTTGGCCATCGTAAGTATATTTTGCATTGCGTTCACAAAGAACGTTGTTTCGATTTCTATCGGAATACATTAAATACAATACAAAAGGTTACTTATTCAAACTTGCTTTTACAGCAATCTCAATATCGATACAACAAAGTTTCCATTAAGAATTCCTTTCTTATATATTTTTCTTTTTCTTGTTATTTTCTTAGATTTTTATTTTGCTGTTCTTTGCTTCTTTGTCGACAAGTATCCCATCTTTCATACATTATTTCGATAAGTGTAATTTTGCTAACAGTTAAAAGAACGGATAAATAGGTAGTTCTAAATGCAAGATATCAGATAGTTAATGCTGTCTCTCGTGTCTACTAACAGACTCTTAGAGTGGTCAATCGACTCGAACCAAGAAAAACATGGACCAATTCATAACTTTCGGCCAATAGTGGCCGCCTACTACATCATCTACATCATTATTATCGCATTCTTCATGGTGAACATCTTCGTCGGTTTCGTTATTGTCACCTTCCAGAACGAGGGCGAGCAAGAATACAAAAACTGCGAGCTCGATAAAAATCAGGTGAATCGCACGAGTATTGAATTAATCGTTTAATTGTTTATTCAAATTATAATAGTATTAATATCATGAATAGATCATGCATGTTCAAGAATATTCTCATTTTCACACTATTAAATCTAGTATCAAATTTAACCTAATGTGAATCGCCACTGTTTCTACTAAATATATCGTTATTTTTTACTAAAACGATAATTAAATTTGACACTATATAGTGTCAAATCAACATTGTACAGTGTCAAATATAATTATTTTAGTATAAAATAACGATATGATTGAGTAGGAGCAGTGGCGACTCACATTAAGTTAAATTTGACACTATAGATTTAACAGTGCAATCAACTCTAAAACAAACGCTTTATAAATATAGTATATCAAACTGTAATATTTATGGAAATAAGATATAATACAATCTTCATGTTAAAATTAATAAAAATTAAACTTGAAAAAAATAATGGGAATTGAGTATCACTATGTAATTCCGTAATAATATTATAATTTCCTTCTAAAATATTTCGAGGTCACACGAAGGATCTCATCACGAAAGATTAATAATCGCTTCTTTCTACAGAGAAATTGCATCGAGTTCGCGCTGAAAGCTAAGCCAGTGCGCCGATATATACCAAAGCATCGAATACAGTACAAAGTCTGGTGGTTCGTCACCTCCCAACCGTTCGAGTACACAATATTCACGTTAATTATGATCAACACTGTGACGCTCGCGATGAAATTTTATCGACAACCGCAGATCTACACGGATGTCCTGGATGTTCTCAATATGATCTTCACCGCTGTGTTCGCCCTTGAGTTTGTGTTTAAGTTGGCCGCATTTCGATTTAAGGTGCAGGCTCGCATTTGTGTGTAATTTTATAATCATAATCATTTCTTACATTTCACATTTGTTCGAAATATTTCATTTTTAATTTCACTTTATATTATATTTATTTACTTTATAACGTTAATTGTGCTCATAAACGAGATCGTTATTAATTTGCAGAATTACTTCGGCGACGCGTGGAACGTATTTGACTTTGTTATCGTGCTCGGAAGTTTCATCGATATCGTTTATTCGGAAGTTAACGTGAGTATCAGTTGCGCTCGACTTTGATCGAATACCCGAGGTAATATTCACAATCATATTTAAGGGAAGGAAGTGAAATTGTAATTAAACTATTTTGTCATCCTTGCAGCCTGGAGCCACCATCATTTCCATTAATTTCTTTAGACTGTTTCGTGTAATGAGACTGGTCAAGTTATTGAGCAGAGGGGAGGGCATCCGAACACTTTTATGGACGTTTATCAAGTCTTTTCAGGCCCTGCCCTATGTCGCCCTTCTCATTATAATGCTCTTTTTCATTTACGCTGTGATAGGCATGCAAGTAAGCAAACGCTGATCGATGGAAAAACACGTGTTTGAAGTACATAAATGACGGTAATTTAAGCGAACGCTTCTTTTCAGGTCTTCGGAAAGATCGCGATAGACGATGATACGGCAATAAATCGCAATAACAATTTCCAGTCCTTTCCGCAAGCTGTATTGGTTTTGTTTAGATCGGCAACAGGTATGCATGGTTATTTGACTTAAATTTTTGATATTAAAAAATAAAAATTTTACGATTAACCAAACTTTTGGTCGTTTAATAGAAATGCAGGTAAATGTTCCGATTAGGGGACCCCCCCCCCAATGACCTTGACCTTGACATATATTGTCAAGGTCATGACCTTGAGTAACCTCCAACAGGTTTTAGCCGTCGCTTGTCCTTCGTTAAAAAGTTATTAACAAAAAAAAAAGTCGAAGGTAAAAGTAATCATTGAACAAAATGATAATCAATCGAATATTTGTGAGCATAGGTGAGGCGTGGCAAGAAATAATGATGGATTGTTCGTCGCAAGATAGTGTCAAATGTGATTCTAACAGCGACGAACTCGACAAGAACAGCTGCGGATCGGACATTGCATTTCCTTACTTCATATCCTTCTATGTTCTCTGTTCATTTCTCGTAAGTGCATCTTGTAATTATCTCATTAGTTCCATTTTACATGTATTATTTAGATCAATGCTGGGATTTACTTGCACATTTCGGCCGATTTTTAGCTTGATTCCTGCCCCTTCCTTCACCAACCCGCGCGTAAATCCTGCAAGTAAATCCCAGCACTGATTTAGATCTCCGATTGAGAGAGCTTCAAAATTTAATATGTGCGTATCTTCCGAAAAACAGATTATCAACCTCTTCGTCGCCGTTATTATGGACAATTTCGATTACTTAACGAGAGACTGGTCAATTCTCGGGCCGCACCACTTGGACGAGTTTATTCGACTGTGGTCCGAGTATGATCCTGACGCTAAGGGTCGAATTAAACATCTCGACGTGGTAACGTTACTAAGGAAAATATCGCCACCCTTAGGTTTTGGAAAGTTGTGTCCCCATAGGGTAGCTTGCAAGGTTAGTAAATAAAACTAATGATATCATAATCATAATTATATAAATTTTAATGGGGAGGATACGTTAAAATTTATATAATTATAATTCATATTTAATGAACAAAGTAAGAGAATGATATGTAATTCAAAGTAAAATTTAAATTAACGGAATCGTATCTAATCTTGAAATTAAAAATTCAGAGACTCGTCTCAATGAACATGCCGTTGAACAGTGACGGCACTGTATTGTTCAATGCGACTTTATTTGCCGTCGTGAGGACTTCACTAAGGATAAAGACGGAGGGCAACATTGACGACGCAAATGCCGAACTCAGGGCGGTGATTAAGAAGATCTGGAAGAGGACTAGTCCAAAGCTTCTAGATCAAGTTGTACCACCACCTGGAGGTAAGCGTTTCTCCACCGTAAAATTTATTTTCTTTCGCGAAATTAAATTTACACTTCGAATCGATCTTTCCAGTGGACGACGAGGTGACGGTCGGCAAATTTTATGCCACCTTCCTCATCCAAGACTATTTCCGTCGATTCAAGAAACGTAAGGAACAGGAAATGAAGGACGGTGATAGAGATTGTCACAACACCGTGACCCTTCAGGTGAATTTTTTAAAGTTTAAAAGAAATTTATATAATAAAATATAGTAACTTAAGATCATGCTTGGATATTTCATATATAATATTATTTACTACATGTAATTTTATTTTAGGCTGGGTTGAGAACGTTACATGAAGCTGGCCCCGAATTAAAACGCGCGATTTCCGGTAATTTGGAAGAACTCCTCGACGACAATCCGGAACCTATGCACAGGGTGAGATAGCGGTCTTTTTATATATTACCTCCCGAGAAACTTATTAATGTAATTAAATAGTAACTTTTACATATTATGCAATTATTTAATATTTTCAGAGAAACCACTCGCTCTTTGGCAGCGTGTGGTCCAGCATGCGAAAAGGACACCACTTTCATAGAACGAAATCGCTGAAAGTTAATTCTACCGCTGCGAAGGCACGTAATGTTTTAATTCTAATGTAGAATACAATTGTTCCTGTCGATTGTTCTAATCGTAAACTTTCTTACAGGCTTCTCCGACCAATTCCATAGATTTTCTACCGTATGCCTCGTTACGGAGGACCGCCGTCACGGACGTCACCAGACAAATCGCTCAGCAAATTGTGCCAAATATAGCAGGGTAATTTTTTACGTATTTTAATTGATATAGATTAGGTGCGTCAGAAAAATGGAAGCGATAATTTCTTCAATAATTTTTCTTTACGATTCCAAATGTTTCTATTTATTATTAAATCATTTTAGCATTTGTAAAATTTTTTAAACGCTTTATTGTCCGTTTCTATCAATGTAATTTAATTTTAATTTTGGTTCAACTAACTCTTTATCTTTTTCTATTTTTAAATATTAGAAAAAGATAAAAAGTAAGTTGAATCGAAGTTAAAATTAATCTACATTGGTAGACACGGGCATTAATCTTTATAACTTTACATTTATTCGAGCATGAATATTAAAATTTAAGCATTGTTTATATTCTTTCTAATGCTTGTAACAAAAGTATTTAATTTATTAAATATAATGCTAGTTCAACTATATTAATTAGTTATGAATTAATAAATTGATGTATAAAAAAATAATTTTATAGTGGTCTAAGCGACGGCGCGATGAATCAGATCGGATCTGATTTGCGACTGGCAGTCGAAGAGAATATACCTCTAAGACCGCTCGCTGTTTTCGGTAATCCGGCGCAACAAACGTCTTACAAAGTGGTCGAGTAAGTACAGAGCGCGTACAGAGCGAGCGAACGAGCGATAAATTGCAGGAAGTGTCCTGTTTTTATTAGAATTATCATATCCGTGTGTAATCGATAGTTATTATTTTTCATAAAGATTTTATTTTTTTCTCTTTTTTCGGTTTATCACGTAATGGTGCATGCAGGACCTTCATCAGTTTGACTTTTTAATTGGTTCATTATATAAAATAATCTCGTAAATTTACATAATCGAGAACGCTACGTCATGTTTTATTTTCTCTTTTGTTAGAAACGCGCAATAATATAAAATGATAAAAAATGGACGACGCGATTCATTAATATTGTAATTTATTTATCATTGATAATTTGAATCTTCAATATTTTTAGATGACCTTTAGCTAAATTTTCCCACTTGCGACAAATTATTTCGCCTCTTAGAGCGGGTCGATTCGTATCATCTCTCATTATCCCTTTTGTTTTTCTGTTTACTATCGTACCGTTTCAGTGGATCGAGTAGCGGTAACTATCTCCATCCCAATAGCGAATATGGTAAGACAAGTTAGGGCGATCAGTAGCTGGCTTTCCATCATTTTTTTTTTTTTGTTAAGTCGCATTGCTTGCTCTGCGCGGCTGCATGTGTCTTTCATTAATCACGCCTCGAGAACCCCGTTTAATTACGTTTTTACAAGAAATCAGAATTTACATGAATTTCATGTAAAAACTGGTTAAACGGGAATTGATTTTGCAAAGTTGCGAGGATAATTAGACGTGCGGGTCGCACATGTATTTCAAAATGCAAAAAGGATGCGTTTGGGTCCCGTCCGTGATAACATTTATGTCCGGCTGATCGCATGTTGTTTGTACTATTACTAATCGTAGATTATCGCTACATATTGATGATAATGCTTGTTAAGCGCCTCCAAATGCCTCGATGAAAACATGACTCTTAGATCGATTTATAACAAAAATACGTATTAATTTTTTTATACTATTTTTAAAATTAATTTCAATTATTTTTTATTAAATAACACATACCTATCTCATAGTATAATTCTTCTTACGAAATCTTGAATGATTAAATCTAATACAAAAAGTAAAATAAATAATAAATGAGAGATCTGAGATGAGAGAGAAGAGGAAAAGTTTTTTTTTCATATTAAAGAGACAACCGTTATTTATCATCTCAAATTAAAAAGTTTGATGTGATATCTAATGTTTATGTTCTTTCAGATGGCAAATTTTCTCTATGTTATTTCAGATTCTCGCTTAGAATATCTCTGTTATTTTAAGTAAAATATCTCGAGGCTTTTTTCGGGGGTGCATGAATCTGCCATATGTACATGCATTAACGTACTAAGAACGGCCGTTACGCTTTTCTTTTCTTCCTTCGCCGTCCTATCCCGCGTGTGCGTATGCACGCTCGTGCAGTCTTCAGGACGGAATCGAGCGGCAGTTGACGCCACCCACGCCTCCACCGCGACGGAACGCACCGTCCTCGTCCACCGGCACTCCGACCATC